AACGATTAAGAAGGATTTTACGTCTTCCCGGACCAGGCTCAAGAGGATATGAACAATTTGTAACTGATGACGAACTATGCCGCGACATCAAACGTTTTCTGCCATCAATCTGGCATTTGCTGTTCTCCATCCTGAATAGATGTCTGACGTCCAAGACTACTGGAATAGACACATGTAGCAGTTCATTCCTCAAATTCTTTCATGGGAGTCTTCTCTCGTAACTATGACTATGCCCTGGTTATCTGGAATGAACTGGTGGAGCTCGTGAACGCAAAGAGATTTCCTTCAAAAGCCAGAAAATTCGTGTCCTTCTAGAGATTTCTACAACTATTCATAAAGGCGATGATGAATGCGAATGAAGATATCCCGGCCAGTTCCAATGGTGAAATAGGGCCGACATTCGTCATGTCTAGAATTCGGCAGCATACTGAAGTTGAAGACTTGGATTCTATAATGGAGATTCCACCAGAGCTTTTTGCCTTGGCTGATCAGACTGCTCAATGTGTGATAGACTATAGGAGAGTTATAGACCCTATAGTTCAACCAGAACCGGTTGAACTTACCCCGGGATCATCCCATGCCACAGCTGAGAGAGAGGTGTTAGTTATAGAAGAGAGAGTTCAGGAACACGGGTTACCTGAATAGGGCAGTATGATGAGAGAAAATGTAATAGTGAGGGGTGAACAGGAGGGGGGAGCATCTGATCAGCAAAGTATTTCATCTGATAGTACTTCCACAACTTCATCAAATTCGGAAGATACTGAAACTGACAATGAGGCAGCTCTAGGTGATAATGATGGTGATGATGATAATAATGATGATGATGATGGTGCTGACGACCATGCTCAAACAATTCCTTCACAGAATATTCTAGTAGGAGCATTGGTTGATGATATTAATGACATCTTTTCAGAATTTCATGCTCAACAGACTTCTCCAAGTCTACATTCCTTATCATTCGAAGGGGGAGTATTGCAGGTTAAATGTGTTATCGTCTAAAGAATATGATGATACAAATAGACATAAACATATTCAAGATAGATTAAAACTAATATCTCTCGTACGTATTTACTTTCAAGTCGTCCATATTTAAAGTGATTATAACTAATGAGAACTACATATTTATTTTCTTTATTTTATTGTTATTTTGTTTTGTTTATTCTATAACAAATGACATTTTAATGCTATTTTTTCGATAATAATATATATTATATTTGAAAAGTATTTGGTAAAAACTTTTAAAAACAAGTTTTTAAGCTTTAGAGACTTCTTGTTAATGCATAATTTTTTAAAACATAAAGTTAATTTTGTTTTTACAACATAAAGTTCAATCTTTTACTACATGTATATAACTTATTAAAACTCAAAGTTTGAAATTTATAAATCAATTGATAAACACGTTCAAAGTAGGATAAACATTGAGCTCTACCAATATGATAGAATGCTCCATAAATTTTGAATTCCTGTTTATGATGAAGTGTATTGTGTTTTCATTTAGGGGCGGAACACGACCTTTGTGGTCAGGAGGCTATGCATGTAACTTGGTTTTTTTTTTTTTTTTTGCTGTGACTTACAATTAAAATTTATAAAAATGATTGGTTAATGTAAGTTTAAGGGGCCATTTATTAAACGTTTATCTGGATAAGTGATAACTCTTATTTTTAAGAGTTATTTCCTATTTATTTCCTTCCTTTTTTGCTATTTTTAAATACCTAATTTTCTTGTTTTTGTCTTTTATTCCAAAAAGTTTTAAAAAGATGTTGAAACACAAAGGAAGAGGTATTATTCCAAAAATCTGTATTTTTCTAACAGCTCTGCCCACTGTGGCACCACTGTGGGAAGTCTTCCAGCCTTGTTAAAGCTTATTGGGAAACGTGCAGCTTAAAGATTCCTCCAGATATTTTCCTCCAGCTGTTATGAGCTGTCTTCCTTATTGTATTTTTTTTTTTGTATTTTCTTTAACCTAGTACTAATTACCCTTGGGTAATGATTGAGTGTCCTTCACCCCCTTTGCCTCTCCCCTATATAAAGAAGCTTGGGAGAGCTTTTTTAAAGTGTGCCAAGAACCATTTTGGGAGGTGCCAAACACCATCTTTTGTAGACATTACTCTCTAAATTTGTCTCATCTCTTTTAGTAATTAATATTATGCTTTATAAATGCTTTTTCATTTCATGTCTTTAATTTCTTGTCTTTAATTTCTAGTATTTTACTTCCTTGTACTCGTAATTTAGTTTTACATTAATGCAATTTATATTTCAGTCTTTAATTACTTTTATTATGTCTAGCTAAATTACTTGTATGGGTGTGGGTGTGAGTTTAACTTAGGATGTTTTTATAATATTTGGGTGATCTTATGTTTTATCACTTTGTAACTTGGTCACTTAAGACGATGCTTAAAACGTGGATAAAATAATCACTTTGAAGTGTTAATATTAGATCTTAGACCCAGAGATGGGCGGATCCGAAATACGGCTTAAGTGATGTACAATGAACTCGAGATGGTCTTTGAATAATTACGCGGAGACGCGAATTTTGCATGCATCTAGCTAGGGGTTAAGCTATAAGTATTTTCATCACAAAGAGATTTGGGTGAAATTTGCATTCCTTTTACTTTTTAGCTAGATCGGCAAGCCTCGAAGTGGTAAACGTAAAAACCTTATGGACTTTTATAAGGCCCGGTTATAAAAGTTCACTTTCGAGAGATTGGAACTTTTATAAACAACTCGTAAAAGTCTAACCATTTTATTGTTAATTTTATCTTAAGCAACACTTGCACCCATGCCCATCATTTAATATTAGAAGTTCATTGTGTTAATTAGCTATCGGTCCTATTTCAGCCTTTTTATAAACAAAAATCCAAAGTTATTTTTGTACATCTCGAAACTCGTGCAAGAAGTTCATGAAAAATCTCTAAATCTCAATCATCCTTTCTCTGTGGGAACGATCTCGGTACTTTGTACCATTTTACTACTTGCAAGCGGTCATAGTGCATTTGCACCGTCATTGTGGGGACATTCTGCCCACTAGGAAAACACGAACGATCCTAGCCTGTCAATTTTTTGGCGCCGCTGCCGGGGAAAGGTAACGTGATTTTTATCCTGAGATATTGATTTTCCATTTGAGCCTTGTTCTTTTGTTTCACTCGTACTTCCCGTGTTGTAAGCCAAGGCTACAATACGGTGAATTTTTACCTCTTGATCTTGAACTAGAAAGAACCATTAGGAGACGTAAAAGAKGTAGAAATAATCGTAACCAAACCATGGGGGATAATCCACCTCCATGGGAGGCCACGGTTAACATTGCCGATGATAATAATAGAGGCATACGGGACTACGCAACCCCCGAATTCGGTCAGTTGGCCGCGGGAATTGGTAGGCCCGAAATGACAGCCACAACTTTTGAACCAAAACCCGTTCCAAATGATTTCCGCAATGGGCCAGTTTGCGGAATAATCGTCGGAAGTTCCGCACTCTCATTTAAAATCTTTTATCGAAACAACGGATCATTTTAAAATTCCCGGAGTTACACAAGATGCCTTACGCTTAACGTTTTTCCTTTACACATTGAAGGATAGAGCTAGAGCATGGCTAAATTCTCAACCACCAAACTCGATCCTAACTTGGAATGATTTGGCGGAAAAATTTCTGAAAAATACTTTCCTCCGACGAGGAATGTAAAAATTAGAAATGAAATTATGACGTTTCGACAAGAAGAAGATGAAGCGGTTTCGGATGCATGTGAGAGATTTAAGGACCTTCTACGGAAATGTCCTCACCACGGAATCCCTCATTGCATTCAATTGGAGACATTTTATAATGGTCTCTCCAGTTCCGCTAAAATTATTCTTGACGCAACGGCCGGTGGAGCGTTCACAGCTAAGACTTACAATGAAGGACATGACATTCTGTAATGAATTTCAAATAATAATACGGAATGGTCAAATTCTCGTGCTGTTGTTTCTAAGTCTGCTTCAGGTATCCATGAAATTGATGCCATCTCTGCTTTAAATGCTCAAATTGTAGCTTTAACTAATTTGGTTAAAAACAATTAACGTTTGAATGGAGAGAATAATCAAGTTCAATCCATTATGTCCAACCCACCTATGTCTGAATCTTGTGTCTTTTGCGGTGAGGGCCATTTTTATGAGAATTGCCCCAGAAACCCTGTCTCGGTGAATTATGTTGGGAGTCATGCTAGAAAATAGCCCATTTTCTCCCACATATAATTCAAATTGGAGGAATCACCCCAATTTTTCTTGGGCCGAAAATCCTGGACTTCAACCCCCCGGGGTTACTCAAGTCCAAAATCGACCACAAAATCCCCGGGATATGGGCAAGGTGCTTCGCACAATTACCAAAATGGACAATCCTCACACTCATACATGCGTAGGCAAAATGCATCGGACGGTAATGGTTCACTCGAATCATTACTTAAAGGTTTTATAAACCAAACCAATGCAACGTTAAGGAGTTTCGAAACCCAACTCGGCCAATTTGTCGCTGATCTCAAGGGTAGACTTTTAGGAACTTTGCCTAGTGACACGAAAACCCCTAAGGGTAAAGAACATATCAAAGCCGCGACCGTGTTGAGTGAGAAGAGTTCAAAAGTCAATGATGATATATGTGAAACCGTCGAAGAACCGACACATCAAAACGAGGTTTCACGTGCTTTTGATATGTCAAATTTTCCAATTTTGAGTCCTTCTACGGAAGAAACTCAAAAATCTGTTTCTATCCAGAAAACAGTCCCTGTTTCTGTCTAGAAAACATTCCCTGTTTCAACTTCCAGTAATGTGCAGCTCTCTATTGAAAAACCCGACAGTGGGAAGATTGTGCCCACTGTCCAACCGACCAGATTTGTTCAAACAACTCCAGATTTGCAGAATTTACCTTTTCCAGAAAGAATAAAAAGCAAAAATGTGGATGAGCAGTTTAAGAAGTTTTAGGACATCTTTAAACAACTCCACATTAACATACCTTTGGTAGAAGCTCTCGAGCAAATGCCAAGTTATGTTCAATTTTTAAAAGACATTTTGCATAAAAAGAGGAGGTTGAACGAATTTGAAACGGTTGCTTTAACCAAGGAATGTAGTGCGCTCCTTACTTGTAAAATTCCTCCCAAATTAAAAGACCCGAGAAGTTTTACCATCCCGTGTTCGATAGGAGGAAAAGAAGTAGGCCACGCCCTATGTGATTTGGGGGCAATCATTAATCTTATGCCATTGTCAGTTTTTAACAAGCTAGGAATATGTGAAGTTCGTCCAACGACCGTGACTTTACAATTGGCCGATAGATCCATTGCGTATCATAAAGCTAAAATTGAGGATATTTTGGTCCAAGTCGATAAATTTATTTTTCCGGCCGATTTTCTAGTTTTGAACTATGAAGCTGACAAGAATGTCCCCATCATCTTAGGACGACTTTTTCTTGCAACCGGGAGAACCTTAATTGATGTTCAAAAGGGGGAGTTGACCATGAGAGTTAGTGATCAAGAAGTTAAATTTAATGTGTTTAATTCTCTTAAGTTTCATGGAGAGGTAGGCGATTGTTCAGTCATATTTGCTTTAGGTGAAGATCTAGAAATAAGTTTGATTGACTTTCCCTACAAAAATCACAATGGGAAAAATCTTGAGGATATTTTGGAAGAAAATGATGAGTTGGAAGATATGGAAGATTTGGAAGATTTAGCGGCATTTGAGCAACTTGACTTTAAGGATAAAATTGTCCAACCACCATCCATAGAGAAAGCCCCTGATTTGGAGTTAAAGCCATTACCTAGTCACCTTAAGTATGTTTTTATCTTATGGAGGAGAAAAAATTACCCGTAATTATTTCTTCGAAATTAAGTAATGAGCAAGAGCTAAGGTTGATAGAGGTATTAAAAGCTCACAAAAGAGCCATAAGTTGGACCATCGCAGATATTAGAGGAATTAATCCCTCCCTTTGCCAACATAAGATTATCTTGGAAGAAAATAGAGTTGGCAAGGTGCAACCGTAAAGGAGACTAAATCCCATTATGAAAGAAGTTGTGATGAAAGAAATCTTGAAGTGGTTAGACGCGAGTATTATTTATCCCATTTCCAGTAGCGGATGGGCGAGTCTGGTGCAATGTGTACCGAAGAAAGGTGGAACTACGGTTATCACCAACGAAAAAACGAGCTCATCCCTACTAGGACCGTCACCGGATGGCGGATTTGTATGGACTATAGGCAATTGAATCTAGCAACCAAAAAGGACCATTTTCCTTTGCCCTTTATTGACCAAATGCTAGATCGATTGGCCGTAAAAAAATATTATTGCTTTTTGGATGGTTACTCGGGTTACAACCAAATTCACATAGCACCCGAAGACAAAGAGAAGACAACTTTCACTTGTCCTTTCGGAACTTTTGCTTTTAGGCGTATGTCGTTTGGTCTTTGTAACGCACCGGCGACCTTTCAACGGTGCATGATGTCAATTTTTTCAGACATGATTGAGGATACTATGGAAGTGTTTATGGATGACTTTTCCGTCATTGGTACATCTTTTGAAAATTGTCTTGCCAATTTAAAAAAAAGTTTGAAAAGATGTGAAACTCATGATTTAATTTTAAATTGGGAGAAATGCCATTTTATGGTACAAGAAGGAATTGTTTTAGATCACATGATTTCTAAGAATGGTTTGGAGGTTGATAAAGCAAAAATTGAGGTTATATTGCAACCGAACCATCTTCGGTTAAAGGCATTCGAAGTTTTTTGGGACATGCGGGTTTTTACCGTAGATTTATTAAGGATTTTTCTAAATTTGCAAAACCCTTATGTAATTTGTTGCATGTCGATCAAACTTTTGAATTTACCTCCGATTGTAAAAAAGCTTTTGAAACTATTAAAAAAGCTCTTGTCTCGGCACCTATTGTCGTTGCCCCAGATTGCACCATGCCTTTTGAGGTTATGCGTGACGCAAGCGACTGGGCCGTAGGTGCCGTTTTGGGACAAAAGCGAAACAAGATTTTTCACCCCATCTACTATGCAAATAAAACCTTGGTGGAGGCCCAGTTAAATTATACCACCACCGAAAAAGAATTACTTGCGGTAGTATTTGCATTCGATCGTTTCCGATCCTACTTGATTGGCACCAAAGTCACCGTGCATACGGACCACTCTGCCATCAAATATCTCTTTAGAAAGACCGACGCTAAGCCGAGGCTTATCAGATGGGTTCTTCTTTTACAAGAATTCGATCTAGAGATAGTTGATCGCAAGGGATGCAACAATCAAGTAGCCGATCATTTCTCAAGGATCGAAGGCAAAATGTCAAGCGGGGGAAACCATGTGATAAAAGAAACTTTTCCCGACGAGTACATTTTGGCAATACAAGAAAATCAACCAAATG